TTCTATTTTCACCAGGTAATTTTGAAGTATAGAAGTAGCTGTTGTCACATCTTTATGACCTGAGATAATAGCAATGTCATCAGCATATGTGCTTATTGTTAATGTCGAATCGAGTGGCGTATCACTTTTGAATAGCAGATATAGTATTGGACTGAGAGCACTACTTTGCGAAACACCGGAATGAATTGGTTTTGGAGAGGAGAGTTCTTCATTTTCTTTAATTTGAAAAGTTGTATTAGATAAGTATGATTCCAAAATCGTGAAATATTTGGGAAATGTTTTCTTTAATTTGTATAATAATCTCATATGTCAAACTTTGTCGAAGGCCTGGCTGATGTCAAGAAAAACTGCTACACAAAATTCTTTTTTATTCAGGGCTGTGAGGGCTGAGTTGGTTATTCTGTTGCATTGCTGAATTGTTGAGTGATGTCTTCTAAAACCAAATTGGTGGTTAGATATCCAGGATTCTTCGGGATGATCTTCTAATAGTCTTTGTAAAATTAGTTTTTTGAATACTTTTGATAGGGATAGAAGAAGGCTTATCTTATATATAAAATTCTTCTGTAAGTTTATATGAATGGTTAATCCTCCTAAACTATAATTCGAATTTTCATCAATCTGAAGTTTGTTCGGGAAATTTTCTAGAATTTTTAGATTCATAGAAATATAGTTAGATTGTAGAAATAAATGGAAAAATTACATAAAACCGCTTATCATGGTTTGCCCTTGAAAATATAAGCATGATTTGACATTAAAACAAATGAAGACTGTCATTTGCCAAACATTTCCATTCACTTATAGGCTAAGGCAATATTAAAATATAATATATTTATGATTATTAATAAGAAAAATGTAATGACTACATTATTATTGCCAAAAAGCAGCTGGGATGTGCTAAAAATGAAAATAATATAAGATTTGCGCCTGTCAGTAATCCCACTTAAAACTTATAATTCACTTTGACTGATTATTATTTTTTAACTTTTAAATGCTGTCGTGTTTTGCCTTACTTTACTAAATCACGATACAAAAATAATTTACTTATTCAAACAATTATTTAGAAGTTTCATTATGTCAAAAATTCATATGTTTGGCATTGGATACGAAATATTTACTCTCAAGACAATGGAGCATTTTCGTCTTAATATTTTTAATGTGCTCCAATTTGCATGAAATTTTGGAATTAGGTTCATCTTACTCTCAAGTTTAAAAGTAAAAATAATTTAGAATCATTTGCCACTTCCCGGGGGAATGACATCCCTTTTCAGTGGTGCAATTGTATCTCTTTCAAACTAACGTCGGATATCGATAAAAGAACTAATTAGAAGAGAAAAATGTTTAATAATGTTTTTCAAAAAAGAAATTACTTTTCAAGTTACTGGCTACTGAGAATTTGTTGTTTTTTGCGTTTTTCATCGTTTTTTGCAAATATTTCTAAAAATATACATTTAAACGAAAATCAATTATTGAACAAAATTATATCGGTTTTATAGTACTCAAAATAAGCTTTAAAATGAGTACTTCTGCGTGTAAAATGAGTGAGCTATCATGCAGATAAAAGACGCATACCATAGTTTTTTCATTTAAAGCAATTAGTTTTTGAGTGCCATTTCCACCAAAATTAAAAATAATCGTATTCCCTCTAGAATCAACTTGGTTTAAGATATCTTGACGGATTCTAGAAAATACCATAACTTTAGTGCAAACGATTTCCAAAAAGCTCCTGATTTCATGAAAAAAATTTAAAATTTAAAAAAATAAGATACGTATAAAGGTATATAAATGAAATTTCAAGGTCTTTTACTGACCAATTATTGCTTTTTATTATTTTTCTGTTACACAAATATTGATAGTGTCCAACCAGATTGTCTTTCGAGTCCTTCAATCCTTTGCCATTTCAAAATAAGAGAAGTTACGGTAAAATTTATGATAGAGAAAGTTGTAGCTCATTTAATTTTCTTTAAAATAGTGTATTGCAAGTACTGATCAAATCAAAATTAAAATAGTTATAATTCAATTAATCCGGTGGGTGGTGACGAAGTGCAAATTGTTTTCACTTCTGAACTTAAGATAAAGATTAGCCTATTTTCGACACACGCTTTTTTCCTCTCCATTTTCTGCAATAATTTTGTTGATTGTAGGTTGAATAGAGCACATGTGAACAGGATTTGATAAATTAATTCACTTCAAATATAAACTAAAAGCCAGTTAAAATATGGTACAAAATTATAAAAATTGTAGGCAACATTATTGAAGTAATTATTTTGGGTAGAAAAATCCAAGGTGATATTGTACCTTTACCGCGCATGCTATATATTAATTTTTTCTGAATTTGTTATACTTTTTACAAGATTTCAATTTTCAACAAACAAAAATCAGTCATTTATACATCCACATCTACAGGTATGACTAAAAATACTATATAACCCTTAAATGCAATAATAATAATAATAATGCAAATAAAATAAATTGAGCTGTTGGAAATAAATTTGTTCTATAAATGGCAGTTTATAATTTTTAATATACAATTTTATTGAACATTTTTTAATATTTGTTAAATGGATAATTCAAGTGTTAACTGTGGGAATTGAGAATAATCATTTTATTTGAAACAGTTCTACATTCAACATCACTCATATATTGGTGTAAATAGTAATTCGAAAACCAATAATGATTATTTTTAACTGAACGGTGTGAATATTAGTATAGGATATTAAAAAAAAACGTAGACGTGGTTACAGGACAACGTCTGTCGGGTCATCGAGTAGGTCTATAAGATTTTACGTCAGATGAATATTTGTTTGGGTTTGGAATCATTATGATTTTTGTATTCTTTCAAACAGATGGCCAGTAGTTAAATTGAAGAATGGAGTTGAAAATGGTTGTGATAATTAAGAAACATTTTGGTGGAAGTTCTTTTAGCATTTTAGGAGAGACTTGATTGTTACCGGGGGCTGATTTTAATTTGATAATTTAGATTTTGTTTTTGATTTCACTTCGGTTAAAAGGTCTTATGGCAGGTGTTTGGTGATTTCCTTGAAGGTTATTCAATATTTCAATATCGGCTGACAAGTTTTGTTTTTTGAAAACTTCAATCAAGTATTCTACAAATGCTTTGCACTTTTCAGCGTCACTTTTTACCCAAGTTATGTGGTTCTGAGAGCAAACCTTGAGAGGCGATTTTGACTTATTTCAAATGGCGATAATTTTCTTTAATTTATTGCTAATTTGGTTAAAACTACTTTTGTTCTCCGGCCAATGAGTTTGTTGCCATCTCCGCCTGGCCTTCCTCTTTGCAGCTATTAATCTTTTTATGTCGGATGGTATTACTTGATTATCTTTTTGTGGTGGATTACTTGGTGTTGCTTCAACGCATGCATCAATGAAAGTTTTATTCAAAAACAAAACTTGACTGTCAATTTTATCAGCGAGTTTGGGGCATTGAATTAGCTTAATTTTTGTATTCATAATGTTTCTGTATTTGTTCCAGTCAGTAAATTTATAGAACAAGCTGCAATGACGATAAACAGGAATCGGACTTGAAAAAAGAATTAGGGAATGGTCGGAAGATAAATCAAATGTTCAATAATGAATTGCGAAGTTGGAATACCTTTTACTATGAAGAAATCAAGCTAATCTGGAATTATGTTAACAACGGTTGGCCAGTATGTTGGTTCACTAGTAGTTATATGTGAAGCATTTATTTGATTTATTGATGTTAGTAGTTCTTTTTCTTTGGCAGTGGTTAGTCTAGATCCCAATGATGTGTGTTTGCAGTTAAAATCGCCTCCGACAATGAATTTATTGCCTAAACTGTTGAAAAATGAAGTATAATCAGCGGATAAAATTTTATGTCTTGGCGGGCAGTAAATAGTGCTAGTGTTATACTATAATGTTTGGTTTGCACTGAGATTAATTAAGCTTGCATAGTCTCTGATTGAACAGTGGGCAGGGCGTGGTGTTTAATATTGTTTTTTTATAAGGATTGCTGCTCCTTCATGACATTTCCCATCTGGGTGATTTGCAGAATACGTTACGTAATTGTGTATGTTGACATATGATTTTTCATGGAACTGAGTTTCGGAAATTAGTAGAATATCGACTAGATTGAGTTTCAGAAATATTTCCAGTTCGTATTTACGTTGAATGACGCCGTTTGCGTTCCATTGACATATTTTAATTGCTTCTACCATTATTTAAGTTGTTTACTAAAATGGCTAGCATATTTAGAATAGCTGAATTTCGTTGGTACATTTGTTGGAACATAATTTTGAACGCGGTTAAGAATTCATTTATTGGAGTGGAAGAATCTGGTGATGAGTTTTGAAAGGAACGATTATTTTTAGTGGCATCGGCGTAGGATGCCTTGTTAAGATTTGAACGATTGCCAATTGTAGGAAATGTTTGTTTTTTATTTGTTTCGGTAGCATGTTGAGTGTAAGTCGGATTTGAGTAAACCGCATTTCGGTTTGTTTACTAAAATGGACCTTTTGTTTATACTTCTGAGCGTATAAATTTTGATATACGGGACAACCTTTGTAACTCGAAACATGGTCTTGATCACATAAGGTACATTTGGCTGGGGGGCAAATGACCGCATTGGCTTGTTGGCAACGACCGCATTGTACTATTCGTTTGTGAATTCTAGGTGGTTCAATTTTTATAATTGAGTTTTTAAATTTAGTTATGTTAAATACATACTAGTTATTATCAGCTGGTTCTAAGTCAATGTAGAACACGTTAAGTGATTCCTTATCAAATTTACTTTTAATATTAGTTATGTTTCTTACTACGTGTCCTGATTTGAGCAGTTCTGATTTGATTTCTTCGATGGGTGTTGAATGGTGGATATATCTGTGAAACTCGGCTTTCATGGTTATTAGTAGCTTCACTAGATGTCTATATGAGTCAGAATTTGAACACTGGATTTTAATTGAATTATCAAGCATGCATTTATAGTAATATTGTTTTTTGTTTAACACTTTTTTATGTCGTTGAACATGTCGTTAATATTGGAAACGCTTGAAACAAAGATCGGCGAAGGTTTGACAGTTTTTTCGGGTTCATTCGACGTGTTTTCCAATACACTGAATCTATTCCTTAGTTTTATGGGAGTTCTAGGATCTTGTGTTTTTTCGATTTTGATGCTATTTGCCAAGGAATATTGTTTTCTTCCATTGTATTTTGGTTTCCTCTGTATTCAAATTAGTTGACATTGTGGTAGATTGGATTTTGTTCTTTAATTGGCCTTCATCGAATTCGCAGTTTGAACTTGACATATTATTATTTTCTTGAAGTGTTTTCATAAATGGAAACTATAATATCACTTAACGTACCCCCATATGTGGATACAATTAAAAAATATTTATATTGTGATTACTTTTGTGGATTAATTTCACTTTTCACGGTCAATCCATGCGATCGAAAACGTCGAAGAAAAATTGCGGGCACCCAAAACACACACACATAACCATTTTTTCTAAGGTATGCCAAAATGTTCAGAAACCTTCAAAACGTGAAGATATGCAAAAAATTCAGATTTAGATTTTTTGACGATTAAAATAACTTACCCTACGGGGAATTTAAAACTAAAACAATTGAGTTGTAAAAAATTATAAAGAGTAAAAAGTACTCATAATTTGTTAATCTTAGTGTTAAAACAGAAAATTCAATAACCATGGATTATTCATCAGGATATGGTAATGCACTACAGTCACTACACTATGTAATATAAACATTAAACTTGTAATTAAACACTTCATTATTTAAATTAGTATTTTACAAAATACTAATTTAAAAAATCACACATAGTGTGCAATATATGTATTATATGTAAACTGGTTGAAGACATAATAAAAAATGATTCTTCAAAAAAAAAATACCAAGTGTGGTACTTCTTGCATATCCTTTGCACACATTTTTTATTGTTTTGTAAGAAATATGGAAGTACTATTTACAAAGAACATTTGTGTAATACAGCATGTTGAGTTTATTGCGTTTATTTATTGTTTTATAAAAGTTCTTAACTTTTTTTTAATAAACTTAATAAATTATTTTGTGAAAATACTGGTACGATTACATATATCATGTACGTAGTTGGCTTTTAAATTTTTGAAATCGGCCAGGCCATTTTTGAGAAAACGTCGACGAAAGGTCAAAATCGGTTCACACATTCCAAATTTGGTCTCGTTTGGTTTAGAGTAATTTACAAATCACTTAGATTTTAATATTTGCACTGCCAATTTTCTATTCTATTTATAATGAAAAACTGTTTATTGTTAAAAAAAGAGGTGCAACTGAAGACAAAGCTGATGGCATAGTTGTTGTGAATCCTGATGAAATGGAAGCAAACAAAACGAATTTAGTGCCAGGTTTAGCCCTCCAAAAGCTTCGAAATGAATTGCAATTTCGTATGGCTCAAAGACGTTCAGAAGAATTTAATAAACGACTAAAACAACAGAAAGTAGAAAAGACAGGCTATGAATCAGGTTAGCTTAAGTTTATTAAAGTTATAAATACCACAACAATCCATTATTTTGGAAAAACTTTGAACATGGCTTTAATCTAATAATTGTAATTGATTGCAAGGTATTTTATTCTGGATCAACAAAATCTGATTTGAATCAACTCGAATAAAGCCTATATATGGATAAATATAAGCTGAGACAAAAACCCATTGATATATTTATTTAATAGATGTGATTAAAATTTACAATAAGAATGATTGAGTTTAGTCAATATACTCTACAAAGTATAGATTGTAAACAAATTTAAAAAAATTATTTAATTTTGAGTTAAAATATATTTGCAAATTAATTTGCAACAATAGATAATCATATAAAACTCAAGCATATAAAATAATACATATTTGTAATGTTGGTTCTATTGATCTCGTAATTTATTGTTTTTTTTATATTTATTAAATTTTATGCTCATATATTTTGTTTTTTTTTCGGCATAATGTGAGTTAATTCGAATCAAGTAAAATGTGATTTGTATCAGGTTTGATTTGAATGATTCGAATCACTTGATTTGAGTTGGCACATTACTATATATTTTATACCATCTTACAATTGTATGAGTATTTTCTATTCTATGAGTGTATAGATAATCATTCACTTTTTGTTAATTGTTGTTCACCTGTTAAAATATGCTAAATTTCTAATACATACTATTTGTTTTTTTTTTTTATAGACATTCTGGATGATAAATTACATGAGAATGAAGATGAATTGGAATTAGAACTAAGTTCTTCAGAAGATGAAATTGAATCAGAAGTGGAAAAAACAACACCGAAAAGGTTTATATCATTTTTTATCTTAATTATTTCATACGTCACATAGAGTGAGTTGTCAGAAAAGATAAGGTCAGCCGAGAGTATTTAACACTTGCACATTGAATTACCATATATTTATAGAGGTTGTACACACATGCCCACTTAAAAAAAAATTGCTATGAAGTTTATATTTTTACTCAATTATTAGTATAGTACTGAAACTTTTGAGTGATTCTATATATATTTATATATCTTCAGGATTTTTTTGTTAGACGCTGATACATAATGAATTGAATAAAACATTCAAAGTGTCGAATGTAGAAATGTTTATTTTAAAATTTCATACGTTTTGAGACTAGATGTGTCTCATCATTCAGCTAAAAGAAATTTACAATATAAGGAAAAGTTTTAGAATTAAAAATATAACAATTAGACAAATTAGATTATACATACCAGATCAGGATAAAACACATATTACTATCACAACAAACATAACAATCATACATGTCACTTCTGTAGGAAAACAAAAACAATTTGAAAAAGAACAGAAAAAGGTAGACGTAATAACGAATTTTAAAACACATGATGTGTTTAAACAATGTCGTGTGAGTCATACATACCACTTGTCATTGTCGTACGTTGCTCGTGTTTGTTGCGAGTTATGCGTGGAGACACTTGTGTTTTAAAATAAGTATATCAAATATATATATATATATTATATAATATATATCTTTGAAGTATTTTGCAGCCCAATCGTCGAATTAAAAAAAGATTAAAATAGAAGTTTTATTCTCTTAAATGTTGAATGATAACCCTGATATTTTAGTCACTAAAGCTGATAAAAAAAACCTTACAGTTGTGATTGACAGGTCTGATTATATTTCAATAACTTATGATTTACTGAATAGAAAAACACACAAACTTATCAGTAATTTTGTTTCTAACAAACAAATCTCCAAATCTTTAGGTTTTTCTCTTACAGTTTTCCATCCTAGCTTCCCAAAACTTTACTGTCTTTCTAAGGTTCACAAATCAAATTTGCCCTTTAGACCTATCGTTTCTGACATAAATTCTTATTTAAGCAAACTCTCAGAATATATTAAAAGTATCCTTTCAAAAGTTTCGTTTCCAATTCTTTTAATTTAGCTAAAATTTTAAACAATTTTAAAATCCCCACCAACTTTTCTTTTGCCACTTTTGATGTCATCATAATATTCCTTGGGATCTTGCTTTACAGGCAGTCACTTGGAATGACATCCAACCACACACATCTTGATTTGGTTTAAAACTATTTTAAATTTCATTTTAAATAATTTTTTTTCGCAGATTTTTGGTTTGCCCATGGGTTCTAGTATTAGTCCTCCTGTGGCTGATTATTACAAATTTTAGAAAACTTTATTTTGACAAATCTTCCCATTTAACCTTATTTTTGCTATAGATATGTTGATTACATTCTCTTGTGTTTAGATAAGGATTATTTATCACACACTTTAAATTCCTTTAATTCGTTTAATAAGCATATGCAGTTCACTTGTAAACTTGAGGTTAGTAACTCTATTAGTTTCCTATACTTAAAAATTATCAGAAACAATAAGGTCATCTTCACTGACTAGTTCCAAAAGCCATCTTGGTCAAAGTGATATTTAAATTATTAACTTCCCGTAGGGTAAGTTATTGTAATGGGCCGAAAATCGGTGTGTGTGTGTGTGTGTGTGTATCTATGTATGGATACAAATTTTCGCCCACGTTTTCGGGCGTACGGATCAACCGATTTGAATGGTTTAAAAAACATTCGATTCCTATTGATAAGGAGATGTGCTGATTAGTTTTTGGCAAAGGCAGGTCCAGCAGTTACGGAGATGAGGAGCAAAGAGTGCAGAAAATAGAAATCGAGTTTTTGAGAGAACGGAGCATCCGATTTGAATGATCTAAAAAACATTCAATTAGTAATGATTGGGAGAAGGGGTTATTAGTTTTTCGCAAAGGCAGGCCCAGCCATTTCGGAGATACAGAGCTAAATGTACAAAAAATGGCAGTTTTTGAGAGAACTAAGCGTCTGATTCAATTGATTCAAAGAACTTTCTGCTTGTCTTAACAAAATAATTGATTTTGTAAAAAAAAATTTGTTCCTTTTTTTTTTTTTTTTTTTTGTATATCGAAAATAATTCAGATTTTATTTTTAATTCTGACTATAGTTCTACTTTAAACAACTCTGCAATTCAGACTACTACTATACTTTAAACAAATAATTTCAACTCTGCAATTCAGTTTATATAATTCTTATAAATATTAGACAATGTTACAATATTTATAATAATCTATTTGAAAACATTCAATATTCCTCGAACATTTCGTTACGGTACGGGAAGTTCCAGCAATTTGCCTTAAGGCACGATGCCACCCACCCCACTAGTTTTTCCTATCATTCTCGATCTATCAAAAGTTAAGTTATTATTTCTTTAATAGACAGAGCCATTTTGTTAAGTAAGGACATTTTTTGGGAAAAAACCTAACTTTAATTCGTTCTGTTCTGAATAATATTTCAGTTTCGTCATATTTAGTTAATAACTAATTGGTATTGGTATTTTGCCTTGAGGCAAGTTACATGAACTTCCTGAAATGTGTAAATTATCGACTTAATCAATAAAAAATAAATTAATTTATGAGTGATTAAAAGTATTTCGAGTGGATTTATTACACATATTTGAAAACGAACAAACACGTTAACTCGGAGTACTTTTATAATTTTATTTTTTATAATTGAACCATTTTCCGTAGGACTTTAATGAATAAGTATGTTATTGTTATACTAAGTAAATCATCTAATTAACTTCCCGTAGGGTAAGTTATTGCAATCGTCCAAAAATCGAAATTGAAAATTTTTACATTTCTCGACGTTTTGAAGGTTTCTGAACATTTTGGCATACCTCAGAAAGAAAGGATGTGTGTGTGTGTGTATGTGCATGTATGTATGGATACAATTTTTCGTCCACGTTTTCGGGCGCACGGATCAACCGATTTGAATGGTTCAAAAAACATTCGATTCCTATTGATAGGGAGATGTGCTGATTAGTTTTTGGCATAGGCAGGTCCAGCCGTTTTGGAGATACAGAGCAAAGAGTGCAGAAAATAGAAATCGAGTTTTTGAGAAATCGGAGCATCCGGTTTGAATGATCCAAAAAACATTCAATTTGCAATCGTTAGGAGGTTATTAGTTTTTGGCAAGGGCAGGTCCAGCGGTTTCGGATATACAGAGCTAAATGTGCAAAAATTGCAGTTTTTGAGAGAACTAAGCGTCCGATTTGAATTATTCATAGATCTTTCTGCTTGTTTTAACAAAATAATTGATTTTGGAAAAAAAAATTTTTTTTGTATATAGAAAATAATTCTGATTTTAATTGTAATTTTGACTTAAGTTCTAATATACTTTAAACAAATATTTTTAACTTTTCAATTCAGTTTATATAATTCTTATAAATGTCACAGTATTTATTTATAACTAGATGACCCGACAGACGTTGTCCTGTACCCATGTCTACAATTTTTTAATATAATATACAAATATTTACCGTTTACCTAAAAATAATTTTTTTTAATTTACTTTTTGCGCAAAAATGTATATACATTTACAATATGAGCGATGTTAAATGTAGAGCTGCTTAAATAAAATGATGAGTCTTAATTTCCACACTATATTGGAAATTGAAGTCTTTTAAATAGTATAACATAACCATAACCACTACATAATACTGACATTTCATCTTGGATTAAATTAATTTAATTTTTGATTATTTAAGATATCCAAAATTGCATCTTAAAATTCTCCTAATCGATATCGTGAGGGCCGAATTCATCTTTACTTTCCCATTTGTTGTTATAAAGTAAAAATTTTACGAATTTTAAAAATATTGTGGAAAGATTAGTCATACATCGCATTAAAAGTAGGACCGGCGCTGATTAATACTTAATTTCATATTTCAAGTAAAATAATTTGTCATATCCTGTTCATATGTATTGTGTATCATTCAATATGCCATACATATACAATATTTTATATTATTTTAAATTCTGGCACATCTCAGCTGCTTTTTGGCAATAATAATATAGACATTTCATTTTTCTCATTCATGATCATAAATTTATTATAAATATCCCAATATTTTCTAGGTTCATATGTAAATTGAAAATTTTGGCAGATAGTTTTCATTTGTTTTCAATGCAAACAATAACATGTCGTTTTTTACAATTTTTTCCATTTATTTATATGTACAATATTGCACATAAATCACAGTACACTATAATCAAATACATCCTAGAAAATTTCCTGAACAAACTTCTGTAAGATTTATCAAAATCCGCATAATCGTTTAGAAGCAGTATACAATGAGTGCTTGCAATTTAATATGAACTTTATATAATAGCAATAAAGCTCAAATTGATTCTACGTTTTAGTTAGAAAACGTTTGCATGAAAAAAATAAAAGGGCTGTTTTTAGGGGTTTCCCGACGATTATTCGATTTTTTTTCGCCGTAAGAACCATCCTTGGACATCAATGAACATTTTAAAAAAAGAATTGGCCAAATTGGTTCAGGCGTTGTTGAGTTATGCGCTTACCAACACATTTTGCGATCCATTTTTATATATAAGATAATTTATTTGAAAACATTTAATATTCCTCGAACATTTCGTTACGGTACGGGAAATTTCAGCAATTTGCCTTAAGGCACCATGCCATAAACACCACTAGTTTATATTTTAACAAACGTCAAAAAAACTACTCATTTTCAAACGTTGATGAATTTTTAAAATTAAACTACTTATATCGTAAGGCCGTAATATTTCAGTAAGTTCTATAAGACCATGATATATATCGCCAAAGAAAGTTCTATGGAAATCGGCCTAAATTTTTTTTCAACAGTTAATTACAAGAAAACGGCTCGGTAGATTTTCACCTAAAACTAATCAATATCATTCCAAATTAATATCTTTCGAACAGTTTTTGATTTTTTACAATCGATTCGGAGCTTGAATGCGGACGAAAAGTTTAACACTTTTTTCCAAATTACAAAGAAACGGCTCGTCCGATCATCGCACAAAACTGAGAAACGATAATTCTCATCGAGATACATTAAGTGGTTTTTAAATTTTTGAAATCGGTTTAGGCGTTTTGGAGCAAACGTCGACCAAAGGTCTAATTGTCAAAATTGACAAAAAAGCGATACTAATTTTTGCAAACTTTGACGAATTTTTAAAGCTAAACGAGTAGTCGTAGGGCCGTAATATTTTAGTATGATCTAGAAGACTATGGTATATATACCTTATACCAAGGGCGAGCAACCTTTTCAACCCACGGGCCAATTTAAATTTTAAAACTTCATGGCGGGCCGCACGTAATTTAATATATATATATACTAGCTGACCCGGCAAACGTTTTGCCACAGGAAATATTTTAAGAAAATCATTAGTATAAAAAATGGCTAACTAATTCTGAATGTATAAATATATAGTATATAAATGAAAGGGGCAGCTAACACAAATTACATTGATAATTTAACCAACGCAACGCTAAAATACTAACATACATATTTGAATTATGTTAACCTTGAAAAAAATCCATTTTTTAAAAAAACAGTTTTATCTTCAGATTTTAATACTACATTTCAAAATTTTTATTGCTAAAATTGCCCCTTCTGCAGGGCATTCAAGGGATAAGCCTGCAAATCAGTTAGTTTTATCGGAGGTAACCATTTTGTTGCCAATATATAAGAATTGTTTTTAAAATGTTGCAGCGGATAGAGCGGATAAATTTACGCTTTTCTATAAGCTCAGAAAAATCTTGATCGAATTTCAAATAAAAACGTACACAAAAAGGATTGTTAATTGATCGATTATCGAGCTAAAATGACTATTATGAAATAAGAGAGTGAAATTTGGAGCTATATGTAGTTTTCCATTCCGCATTAAAAAAATTAATAAAGAACAAATATTAAAAAAAATGTTACGGTTGTACAACCCATGAAAAAATTAATTTTTGCTTTTGCTGCTTTCATGCTTTTTCTTTTTGAATAAAATTAGAGATTTTTCATAAACTCAAAAGGTTGAACTAATATTAAGTCAAAAAGATTCATTGACTGAGCACGAAAATAATATTATTGCAACAAAATTAATTAATTGCAACAAGAATAGAACAAATATACAAATTTGAAAAAAGTATATATTTTATATAATTACGAGTGTATATTATAAGTGTATATAAATAATACAAAATGAAAATAAATAATAGTTAAACAGAAAAACTAATTTACTTTAAAACTTTAATGAGCAATTTGGCACCGCTTTTTTTATAAGCTGATCAATATCAACCGTTTTTTTTTAATATTGTTCTTCATTTTAATTTTTTTAGTGCGGAAAGTAGCAACATGTATGCTGCTTTGATATGTTACACTCAATTTTGATCGGTAATTTTAGTTTAATTTTAATTTAATTTTTAATAAATTTTTCTAAATGAAATAATTATTTTCCATCGACTTTTCTTTTGTAGATC